CTGGCACATATGTATGAATATTTTGTGGGTCAGTAAATGGGCATGCATGCAAGGAATATTGGTTTATTCATGCACAGATTTAATTGGAATAGATATGGAGAGATTTGAGCCCTCTCCCTGAGCACAGCAGCTGGCTAACGAAATTGCAGAGGCAAAGCACAAAAATAGTTGGAGCTGAAATTAAAATTTATGTTTATTTTTCTTTCTATTTTGTTGTTTTTTTTTTTCAGTTTTTTTTTTTTTTCTGCTGTTTCTGCTGCTGCAAGGAGCGAAAGCAACTATGCCAGTAAATTGCAAAAAGAGCGCGTGCTAAAGTTTGTCTTTTATTTTTCGCAGTCTGACTTTACTCGTTTGAAATGGGGCTAAAGTCGTAGTAAAGTTGTGCAAATATTTGCAAAGGAACGAGTTTGAGCAATATTATCTTTCAGCAATTTTATCTGCTCTGACAGTGCAGCAAATGTGATGAAACTCAGACGACACTTTAGCCTTAATATCCGAGAGTAGCTATAAAACAATTACACTGAGAAAAAACTCGCTAGACCTGCTGGCAAGTGGAATGGGGAAATCGATAGATTTTATATACGATTTCTTCAAAATGGAAATAATATTCCTTATTATTGAGATGTTCCTCCCGATCTCTAATAATCCTCAAGTATATGAAATTTCTATGTGAAAGGACAAGCCTTCTTCTGCCTCTACTCCAGACTGAAGTTCATCCAACAGATTTCAGACTATATTATTAGTCTAGTCAGTTAATCGATCTGAATATTCAGTTTTAGTTGTGCTCAATTATAAATTCAGTTCTTCACCATCAAATACAAGAGATATTTTTGTCCATCTCGAAAAGACAAGCCTTCCTCTGCCTCTACTCCAGACAAACTTCGGATCCAACTGGCCTCAGGCTAGAGTATTAGTTCAGCCTGTTAATCATCTCCATATTAAGGTATTACTATAACAAAGTATTTGCTTGCGTTTTCATTAGGTTTATTTCGAACAATTTTCTAGGCATCTCTATCTAAAAAGCAATGCCCGAGTCTTTAAGTATGCTTTTTATTCTGAGCCGTCTGTCTGTCCCCTGGCCACTTAATGCCAACCTAAAGTGCTTTTCATTACTCCCGCTGATTACCCAACTCAGTTGTGTCGCTTTGTGCGTGACCTTCGCCTCGATTTGCTGTCGCGTCTTACCTGGACTCGGAGCCATGGTCTCTCACCAGCCTATCTTAGTTTCTGATGGCAATTTATGGCATTATGCATGGTTGCTATAAATCGCAATCGTGCTGCCTCGAATCGAGGGCTGTGAGTGCTCACAACTAAAACGAATATTTAAACGAATCAGATATGAGTGCACGCACGAGTGCATGCATACAAATGTTGCATCTCCTGTCGAATGGGCCAAGCACTCAGCCATGGACTTTTCCAATTTTTCTGTTTGATTTTCTCGCAAATGCTCGAAACAAAAAAATAAAAAATAAATAAAAAATACTTTTATTCTTATATAGTTGTCGACCACTTTGAAAACAATCTCGGCTGAAGCTTTCGACACTGCCAAAAGGCAGCAGAGTGAAAGTTCTTGCAAGTGCACATTGAACAACTAGAAGATATCCTCTGAATACTCATAAAGTTATGTAAAAGCAACTAAAATGATATTAATGGAAAAAAAATAAAATGAAATACAAAAATTTATATTATATTAAGAAACAATCTAGTATATATAATAAATAATGTTTTTTTTTTTTTTGCTGGTCAAATGTGGAAATTATAATTTTACTTTTTCTTTTCATTTGATAACTGAGCAATTTTTTAGAAATTCGTTCATAAAATAAATAATTTTTTTTTTTTAATATTAAAGTATTCTGGAAATATGTGACTTTAATAACTTTTATAATAAATTTTCGAATTATTGCTGAGTAGTGCAGAAGAAATATTCCTGGTGAGTTTTCAAATAAAAGGGTTGATTCTGTTAGATATTACTGATACTACATCTGAGTGGCTGTCAGCATATATGGTAACATTTTAGTAACATTTAAATAACATAAAAAGAATTCTGCAAAAAACACTGAGAAATGGTTCAGGCAAATATATTTTAGGAAATTGGAATTTGGCGCCATTGAGAAAGCTTATCTATGGGAACTGAGATATTTTTAGAGCTGTGCATGTACTCTCTCTCCCACCCTCAATCTCTCTATCTCTATCTGTCTCTCGACTCCTAACTGGACTCAAGATAACTTAAATATTTGAGCTATATATATTTCGTGCTAAAATATTTAGAGCAGTCATAATATGCCATACAATATGCACTGCATCAGCCATGAGTAGAGGATATGCACAAACACGGTTTCGGATAAGGATACGTAAGGCTACGATGACGAGTATGAAATGCCCGCACACACACACACACACACATGGACACGTACACATGGACACACGCACAGCAATGCACTACTGATGGCCGCCATTACGGTTAAATGGAATTCATGCAACTGCTGAAGCAGCTGCTTCCTGTCGGAACTGCATGTGGATTCCATGTGCGAGTCACTCCACTCCACACACATGCATATGCGCGGCTACGTAGGTGTGTGCGTGTGTGCGTGAATGCTTATATAAGAGAGCAAAATGTTGATGCGAGAATTACTGCGAGATCCGAAATGGAAATCTGCCTGCTAGCTCAACCAGCAAAGGCGAAGCAGTCCCCCTCCAAAAACAAAAAGACCAAAAAAGTGATGCACGACATGGGAACAGTCAACACTGAGTGAAACTCACAAAAGGCAGCGGACATCAGGAATAACTGCAATCAATGTAACCATTCAACAGACACGAGAATGCAAAAAAAAAGAGAAACTATATAAACGATAACAAATATTCTTTAATACTCGAATAGAATATACCCTAACAGAGCACTGAGCTGCACCAACTAGACCTAGGAGTATAAATTTATTGAAAAATGGGCAAAGCTCGTACTTCAAATCGATATTTATCGATGCCATCTCTGTCATCTCCAGTGCCTATGAGGACTTTATCATTCGTGAGCAACTACTCTGTACTCTATGTAACTACCTATCCCAGCTGGAGGCAGCCCTGCTGACCAGCTTGTCAACCTATTAAACCTAACCGTCTGTCTGCAATGACAGCAGAGCTTTACAGCTCAGTCGATTAACCAGGAATTCGCTCTATCCCTGAAATCGATAAATAGAATGCACTGACAATGTTCGTTGTTGCTTTAGTGTCCCGTGCCATGGCTACAGGGTATTAAAACAGAAGAGCAAAGATAAACACGATATGTGGCAACAAAGAGCTTAAACAATGATAAAGCCCAAATGACGACATCTGCTCCTCCTCCTCCGCCTTCTCCTTCTCCTCCCCATCTGCATTCTGCTGTTACTGTTACTGTTACTTTGTGCAATGGCAGTGACAATGTTGATATTGCGTGTCCCGTTGCATGATATCGAATCGCCCACATTCACCATCAGGGTACCGAAATTCCAATATGAAAAGAAAACAGAAATTCGCTTCAACAATTTAAGCTTAACAAATTGATTTACATTTCATGTATAAAATTGGACAATCTGAGAAGGAAAAGTACTTCATGATTGTTCTATTAGTTTCGATGCCTTTCAGAGTATCAATGTTTTTATACCCTGAATCTATTGAAAATATAATTCTGGATAGAATATCCTTGTCAAAATATATGCATCAGGCAGATGGACAATGATAGCCTTCTGTCTGCCCACAGCTCTTTATGAATGGATGTCTACGAGAATTACAAATTTGATAGTTTGTTGTGGTTGTTTTATATAGCATGTCAAGCTTGCTTAAAATAATCAATAACTTTTACAGTTTTCATCTAATCAATTTAAATCCTCTTTAGAGCCAGAGTCTTTATATAGAATTTTTTTGTTATTTTGCATACTAGTCTCATAATTTAAACTCAGTTGCAAACATAAGCAATATGTGAATGAGTTTTTATTTTTACTAATATATTCAATATAATATGCAGATCATGGGCTGCGACTTTCATTTAAATCCGTTGAGTAAAACAAAAGTTATGGAGTTTATTCAAACACCTACTCGTATTGCTTAAGCGTGTTTCCTAGTCGGACGATTAGAGTTTTCGTTACTTATTATATTGCATATATAGCGGACTGCATTTATTGTAAACTGAACAGATCTTAATACATGGGATATATTAGATATGGTAACATATACATATAGCAAATCTAGTATAGATCCTTCTCTGCCCTCCACTCTCCCACTATGTAGTATCTCGTCGCTGGCATACCCTTTCGTGTTACATTGTTTCACTGCTTTTTGCCTGTTCTGGGCCGTCTGTGCTGGGCTCTTCTCGCTGGCTACAAGCAATAATGTATATAGACGAAATAAAGTTTATAAATCATTGGATTAAGATGAGCAGGGTGGCAGGCGAGCATTTATTGGCATTAACCCGAGTTTGTCGACTTCGTTGCTGTCGTTAATCTTAGTTAGCCATCGGCTGGCTAAGCAGCGAAGACCTTCAAGTGGCATCCCAGTGCCATTCACAGTAGCCCTCTCCACCCCTCTCCCTCCGCTCACTGCCGTATCATCAGCTCTTGAGATTTTTACAATCTTACAAATTTTAATTTGTTTTCATTTATAACGCAGCTTGTTGTCCCTTCGAGTCGGTTGCCAGAATCATTTGCCGTTTACATAATTCAGCTTGGCTCAGATATCATTGTTTTTTTTTTGGCTACTGGATTATTTAGTTCTTTTGTTGTTAATCAGTTATGATAGCTTGATAGACCATTCAAAGGGAGAAGTGAGAAGACTTGACTACTTGACTTATATATGGTCTTAATTTACAGCACGAGCTGAGCAGATATACGCAGCTCCAGCTGGAAATGGCAATACCATTCAGCTTATGTCATTTAAAATGCACTTCAAATAATATTTACCAATCAAAGTGATTGGCTAAGCAAACATTACTCAAATTCGATGATAATTTGGAATTTATTGTTGTTCAATTAGCGAGAGTGCAGATAGTAATCCTCTGACGTGGGCGGGTTTGCCATGCATTCATTTTCAGCTAATAGCTATTAGAGTAAATATGTTTTTATATAAATAAAATAAACAACTAAAAACTGAATTTTCCATAAATTTAGCAAAACTTTCAACTCAATCATTTTATATACAAAATTCCGTATATTTGTTGCATTACATATATGTTTTTTCATAGTTTTGTTTTTGGCATCTTCGATGGGAAATGTAAAGCGGAAATATCAGGTCAAGCACCTGCAACACTTGTGCCGTATCAGAGCGCAAAGACAAGCAAATTCGATGAAATCCAGAGCATCGTGGTGTCTGTCGGGCCATTCACATGGACCTGCCTCGCTTTCCATTCACCTATGTGTGGCGCAGTGAATGGGCATTGATTTTGTTATTTATGCATTTGATTTAATGGATTTCTTTGAATTTCCATGTACTTCAGTGCATGCACGTTGCCCCATCCCCCCCATCCCCCCGCTCCCGGCTATCGGCTGAGGCCCACATGGTTTCGGTATGGTTTCCTTTTCGGCTCTTGGCTTCGGCAGAAGATTTACGAGTCTGTGCAGCAGGCAACCAATAGATACAATGGACCAGCGGACGGCCAGTCTCAATTTGTATCCAGAGCTGGTGGAGCAGTGGGCGAGGGGAGTGCGGGGTCTGTGGGAGAGTGAGAGCTCACACATAGAAGCGTCAGCATATTTAATTTAATCGCTGTTCCGCCAGAGACTTGGAAAGTTGTCGCCTCCCCCAAGAAAAAAAAATGAAATGGAATGGGAAAAGGAATTAGATTCAGTTCGATTTGGGCCAACTGCTGACCAGGCCTGGCATTGTTATTGTTTGCTTTATCATTGAATGTTTTGGCCACAAATATTATGATGGCTGGGCCCATTAGCCGCTGCCGGGGGTCAACTGGAACACTTGGCGCTGCTTATATTGTTTACGCGCTGGCTAAATCATTTAGTTATTGTAATGGATGTGGACTCAATTTCAAGTCAGTTATTTGTGCTCTTGACAGGCCGCTTGCCAGTTGCCAGTTGCAAGTGCCAGTGGCAGTGGCAACAGCATCTCACGAGTGATTGAATAGCTCCATGGCTCCAGACCCAGCAAATTGGCTACGTGCCGCAGTTGCCACGCTCCGCACATACCTATCAGGATCAGCTCAGCTAGCCTGTCGTTTGGGCCTGTTCCTCTGTTCGTCTGTTCGTCTGTTCGCCTGTTGGCTTTGTTTTTAGCTTTTAGCCACGCCAATTGATTAGCTTCTCACTCGCATTTGATTGATGACACCTTTTCCGCCAAACACGTGCCGCGCACAAGCAATTATTTCAACTCTCGCTCTCCCCCTCTCTTCCTCTAGCTCTCTCTCTGTTAGACATATGTAGCATGCCTTAGTCTTAGCCTTCAGTCGAGCGCCTTCAATGCCACAATCTCGTCAACCGTTCGAGCTTTCACTTCGAATGACATTCAACCATTCAGTCAAACACCTGTGACACAATTTATCAATGCAACTGTAGCTGAAGCTGCTGCCGCCTCCAAAGGACATTCGATTGAGCCACCCTCTCCCGTCCCCCTCTCCTGAGTAACTGCTTTAATTTACTGCTAAGCTAAGTAATTGCACCAAGGATTAGTTGAACATTTTTATGCATTTACTTCAAGTTCAACTCTCAATTTTCATGTTTTACCTTTACACTGTAAACTGAGTCTGAAATATTTAGTAAAGGGGACATTTTTATACCCTAAATCCATTGAAAATGTATAATCAGGGAGTCATGGTTTTGCTTAAATATATGTAACACATTAAAGGAGGCGTTGCAGATGCTATAAAATATATATATTCTTGATCAAGGCAAAGAGCTGAGTTGATCTAGTCATGTCCGTATGTCCCTCTGTTCGCATGAACTCTAGAGATCTCGGAAGATACTAAAGCTAAAGACTTGAAATTCTACATACATACGCAGTACGAGTTTATATACATATATTATGATACATACAAAAGGCTTAAGCATAATTGGTGTTAGTTATATTAAATATATAATATATTTATATATATCTCATCGAAATGGTAATAATATACCACAACTAAAACTAATTTCAATGAATAATACATGCTTTATTTACGTTTGAAGTAGAAAAACCCGAATATTAATGTTAGACACTGTATATATTCTTCGATAATACCTTCCATTTTATTTTTATCGACAGCAATCGATAATTTGATTTGGTATTTTAAGGTTACTCAATACTGTTAGACCTACAGATTTCAGCTTAGCTGTGTAGATGCGTGTGACGAATACAAAAATCCACTTTAGCGTCCACTTTTAAGGTGGAACAATTGAATATGCTCAAACTCAGCATTTCCATCTATTCTAGTGCATTCAGATCATACTTATTCCGTCGCAGGAGCAGCTATGCTACTTCCCATTAGTTGTGTCATAGCATCGCTCTCTCTCTCTCACTCTGGCTTATGCCTCAGCCCCCACCGAGTGGCATCTTTCTTCTTAACTTTCGTAATCAAGAGCGGGAATAATTTCTGCAGTCTATCTTCCGTATTTTTTGCATGACTATCTTGCCTTCCACTGGGCTGCGACCATTGCTGCCTCCTCCATGAACTCTCCCTTCTCGGATAATATATGAAATATATCTAAATTATTAAATACAACCATCCATAATGCAAGCCAATTAAAGTTCGATTCTCTGTTAGTTTCTGATCGTTTATCTCGCCACGAGTTTTCAGCAGCTCTGCCTGCTCATACGCCACGTGTCAGACGTCAACGACAATCCTCGGCTAAGCTGGCCATTAAATTTGTCGCTGAATGGCATCAGCTAACAGTTTCAGCTTCGTCCATTTATTTGTTTTCTGTTCTCTGTTTCCTTCCTTATTTTGTTGGTGTTGGTGTTGGTGTTGGCAATTTGGCATAGCTTAGAGCCAGCGCCGCTAAGTCCTGGGTGCAGGACTTATCTCGGATAAGCATCAGTGTCCGAAACATTGTGTGCGCTGCCAGCTGCAGCTTTGGTAATTATTTGGGGCACATTCGATTGGTGCGTGGCCAAACTTCATTTCATTGAGCTTTGTATGTCCTCTCTGCTGTCAGTTTATAATATTTGTAGTCGCACATACGGAGGAATAGATAACTTTAAGATCTTTATGGGCAAAGAGTCCTTGGAGTTGCTGTTTACAGGAATATTTTTGAAAGCAGCTGAGACTTTTGCTGAATCAACAAAATGATATTGCGATTGGATTATAAGACTCTGTGAAATTGACCTCCCAGTCGATCCCGGACAGCAACCTCTGTCCGCAAAAGTAGCAAAAATCAAGATATTGATGGGAGCAAATGGTCAAATGGATTCAAATTCATCAAAGGCTCAGAGGTCAAAAGGTTTTTGAAAGTTAAAAATAATTCAGTGAACTAAGAAATTTCTCTAAGCGGGACTGTCTGACTAGAAGTTACCCTACTTCCTGAGTAGTTTTTTATTTGGCAGCTGTTCTACAGATATGCGTAATTACAGTAAAATAAATAATATATTTAACAAATTAACTTGTAAGCTTTTATTTGAGAGGCTTTTCAGCTGTAGTAAGGTCCAGGTCGAAAGGATTTTATTGTATCATTCAGAGATCTATTGAGAACATTTATGGAATATTTTCGATCTCAGGTCAACCTTTGTATTATTCTATGATCTATTGAGGACATTTAAGAAATATACCCATACACAACACAAACCATTTTAATATAACATAAAAGTATTCTCGCTACAAATTTTTTATATATTTTGATATATATTAAAAAAAAAAAATACTTTTTTTTTTAAGAAACCGAAAAATACATGGAAAGAAGGCAGAATTCTTTTCCATATGCCATTTAGATTTTGTAAATATCTAGCTTGGATCAAAAGTTATGAATGAATGAAAACAGAGCCAAGGCACCAATTCAATGCCCGACTTAAGGGTCTTGCAATTCCTGGCCTATCTAAATATGAACGTGTTGAAGAACGTCTTTACTATGACTGTGTTTTATGCATTTGACATGTTGAATTTGTAATATTTTATGGAACAGTAGCAGCAGTAAGAGCTGAGCATAAGTTCCCCATTTAAGCATCTCTCTTTCTATTTGCAGCATAAAAATGTCAAATATTATGTGAGCTGAGCTCACTCTCATTCATTCTCAACTGGTATTTGATGGTCTTTGAGCTAATGTATGAAGTGGCTCGGAGAGATTAGCTTCAGTCGTGGCCGTTTGCATTCGTATTAAAGCGCCTCGCTGACGGCAATGGATGGCAGCCAGATGGGGGGGCCAGCTGTTAATCCGGCAGTCAAATTATATTCAATTGAGGAAGCCATTGGCTTTGGCATACATCGATTGGCTTAGTGATTGGGTTTGGGCCTGGGATTACTCATTTACTGCTGTGGCAACATCAAACGGATTTTCGCACTATCATCATCGGCAGTGTCACAGCAGCCAACACATTCGCATCGCCATCAGATGAGCAGCTCTCATTTATGCTCGTCCAGACTACGGCTGGATGGGGCTGCTCAAGAGGGCGCCTCAGCCTTTTGGCTAACTCCCTCTCCCTGTCTCTCCCTCTCTCTCTCTCTCTGTCTGTCTGCCTGTGTGATTGGGACACATGTATTCGCCCTTCAACGGGTGCCGTTATAATGTTTGGCTATTCTGCTGACTGCTGCTGGTTGCGTGCCAGCTTCATCAATGGATATGTTCGAGTTGTTCATATCATTTGGTTATTCAAATAAATTTGCTGCTGCGCCATTTGTATCTACCCACTCGATATACCCATCCGCCCACACACGCTCTTGTGTCTGATGAGAATGTGCGCACATAAAAGATAATGAAAGTGTTGGCCTGCCCCATGGGAGCTCTGCTGGATCAATGCGCGCGCCTGCAAGTATGCAATGAAATTTTGTTGCCTGAACAGGTAGTCATCGATGTGTGCGTGTGTGTGTGAGCACTCTACTTCGTGAAATGGCCCATACCTGCAACTGGAATTCTAATCAGGGCGTATATCCACCCACCATCAAGCTACTTCGCATGGAAAGTGTTTAAGCCATAATCCAATTACGTTTCTTATATTTATTCCGCTCAATTTGCTGCTGCTCATTGTCTTAGACTCTGCGTATTCATCTCCAGCCAGTGCCCTATATTCTATTCCACAGTATTTCAAGTTCAAACTTCAAGGATGCGTTGCCTATCTAGAACTATGTCCCATGAGTTCCGCGACTGCAGCAGTCGTTAGAGCTCACAGACGCTCTATTTTGTCAATATTTCCATAGAGGTACCACGCCTTGCTGTCGATGGCTTTGCTGCTGCTGAAGGCTATCAGCACTTACTCTTTATACACATTCACCAAAATGTCCGTCTTGCTAACGGTGCATCCATCGCTCGTATAGGAGACACCTGATAAATAATCGAAAGATGCATTTCCTGTTGGTTTGTTAAGGAATTTAAATGTGGAAAATACATACAGGGTGTTCCATATTCGACAGATGCATCTGGCAGCTCTACAAGGTTGCCCCAATTGAAGAAAAGTATTGTGGATGATAACAACATTTGTATTTGGCTTAAGGAGATTTGCTAAAATTAGAATATTATATATCTTAAATGGCCGCCCTGAGCCTGTGCGGCGTTTTGTGTCAGTTTCTGTCAAAAGATGTAGGGTTGCCAGATGGGTTAATCGAATATAGACAACCCTGTATATCATGCTATACCATATATACTTATGTCCAGGCGTAGCGAATCCTTAAAGTTTATATATTCAAAGCTGGCGATTTCTTGACTTTGAATGAGTATTCTGCAGTCGGTAGTGCCCGGCTGCAAAGTTCTTACCTGCCTTTGACAGTGCACACTGTGGTCGCTTGGCTTCCATGTGCTTTCCAAGCCCGCCTTCTATAAAAAATGAGGAGCCCAGCGAGACATCCGGGCAGACAAATCTCCTAATGTCAAGTCGGTGTGCTCGGTAGTGCACCATCTCTTGGAACAGCAAAGGACTGCCAAGTTGATATATCTTTCGTGTACAAAGCACACAGCCTTGGGAAAGCATCTATTAGCTCAAACCCAATTAATACAATCTAAATCTATTTTAAGACCCGCACAAATTAGAAGAAAAACAACATTCGGCTTGTAGCTGCACATAATTTTTATCATTTATAATCGAACATGATAATTGAAGTGACTATGACTATACTTGGGAGTAACTGTCATCTGGATTATGTCAATTGTCAAATAAAGGGGAAAACATATTAAAATCTAAAAAACCTAACATTCTAGCCTTGTCCTTGGTCAATTAATGGCGCCAGATCGGAGTCTTCTTACTGCGCGCAATCATAGCAGTTAGCTGCTGCGAATATTTGCCTCTCTGATTGTCCGGAAGCTGGGCGAACTGCCTACCTCTGTTGGCCGTGTTGGCAGCGTTGGCAGCGTTGGCTGCGTTGGCTGCGTTGGCCGCATTGGCCGCATTGGCCGGCAGGCGTGCGCGATTGCTTACAGTCTGAGTCGATTGGCTGCGCGAGATCTTGGTCTTCTCTGATCTGGTAACGTCCATATCCAAGGCGTTCCGCGGCGAAGCGGTGAAGGAATGCGACTTCCTGGAGTCGTTCTGCGACAAGGCGCCTATCGAAAGCTGAGTGTCGCTAAAGGTCGCGTTGCGCAGCTCGGGGTTTCGCTGTATGTTGGTGAGCAAATTGTCCATGCTCAGCTCGTAGCGCCACTGGTTATGCTGCTGCTCGAGCATCAGCTGCTGCCTCAATTTCTGCAAGGAATATTCGGTTAGTTATCGGGCTCGGGGCCAGCGCCCGTGCGAAACACTTACGAAAATATTACGCTTGTATATATAGGTCAATAACAATCCGGAAATCACCATTAATGTCATCGAGAACCACAGAAACTGATGCTGGTCCATGCCCAGGGCCTGCATCACGGACATGCTCTTCACAAACATCCAGCACGATTTGGGCCACTGGCGGCAAGTCGATGTATGCAAGATGTTATCTTGGGCATCCATTATGATCTCGTGGGTCCACAAGTCCGAAAGTTTCTTGAGCTGCATTTTATCTTGGTGTTCTTTCACGGAGATGTATTGTAGTAAAAAAATACAAAAAAAATAAAAAAAATTACTATTTTTGAAAAATTTTAAATAGTCCGAAAGCGCTCGATGCGTAATTTTAAATGAACTACAGTCCGGAGGCAAGCATTATATAGGTTTGTGATTCCAAGGCCTGCTGCGACTCGAAATATTTTTTCAATTTTACGCGAAACAATCGAATCTGGCAACGCTGTACAAATAGGCATTGCCATAAGCGATACTTTTTACACATTTTACTCCGTTGCGAACCAGATTTAATCGGAAAACTACATTTCAATCGAGTTGGCTTTGCATCGCACATCAACCCTAAATTCCTGGGCCCTTTATATTCGCTTATTGTGTAAAAAGAGCATAGACTTATAGCTACATATACTCAAGTTTATTTATTGAAGCTGAACCACAGATGCCCTGGATTACTATAGACTCATGTGCAGCGATCCTCACTGGCCTAAGCAAAGTATTGGTATTTTATATAGTATTCAATCTGATATTTCTTGTCTTGAAGCCGTTGAAAATGCCAAGTCCGGATAAGAGGAGGAAGAGCTGAGCCAATGTAGCCTAGCTCAGCTCCATCTACTTGAGCGCAGATAACTCGTAGGCCATAAAAGCTTGAAATATTCAATATACAACACATAAAGAGATATTCAATCAACGTCTCATCGCCGGCTGATATTCTCTGATATCGAGAGATATTCATTCAATTACGATCTTTCTCTGACATGCGGATACATAGGTGTGTATTCTCTCTACAGCGATATTTCTTTGTTATATTGAGATATTCAATCAACTACTATCGTCGTCCTCGTCGTCAATTACTCCTCATCGAAAGATATTCATACAACTATGATCCCCCTCTGATACATGTTACATCATTCAGTTATGATCTTTCTTTTATAATTATCATATGTACAGGGATATTCACTCATTAAAGATGTTGCCCTGATATTTCTTGTATATATCTAGACAGATTCATTCAACTATGATGCGTTCGTATTTATCTCTGATACTGAACCAATTCCATACTCTGATCATAGATCCTTCTCTTGTACTTCTCTCTTATGTATGGATATATTCATTCAGCTGGAATGCATTTGTGATGTTCCTCTGTTTCAGCTATAAATATAGCTACTTAATGTTCATACTCATTCTAAACTAGCCATAAAATGGCTTTAACAATTGCTTTCATTTACTCTCTTGTAGCAGTCACAAGTGCTGCGTGGCCATAACTGTTCGAGAGCTATATTCGACTTGGCTGCAGTCCCATCATTCACTTTCGCACTCGCCCACTCAGTTTGCGTGTCTGTCGCCAACTTCGTGGTGTTGCAATGCCCCTGGCTCGCAGACAAACTCAAATATTTTGCTAAATAAATTGAATGCAGCTAGGAAAATATGCTCTCGCTCTCCCACTCTATTTCTCTGCGGGTCGCCGTGGAGAGGCGTGGGCGATGTATGTAAATAGCGCGACAACCATGAGAAATGGCAAAAACTTTCATTCGGGCAAACAAAGCTGCAATTCTAATAAAGTCATGGCGCGCCATGCAACGAGCGAAATTTGGTTGTCGTCTGGCTAACTGTGAATATGCATATATGAGTGTGTCTCCCTCTCTCTCTCTCTCTCACTCTCTATGTATGTCCACATTGTGCCCATATTTGGAATTGCTCTTATACAGCTTGTGCTGCCGGACCCAGCGTTTTTTATTGTCCTGCGCCATACGTGCGCTCATATTTCACAGCTGCCACAGATTCGCCATTTCGTTCTCATAACAAGACACCAAAAGAGGCATCATAACGTGACTCCAAGTGCCGTCCGCAGCGGCCACAGCGCCCACAGCTGCCTTACGTCCAGCGACACGGCACACAATTTTCTATTAGGCCATACCCGCAATTTGGCCACACACACACACACACAAGTTTCCGCCATTTAATGCGGCACATAAATAGTTTGGCTTACCGCAACAACAGGCCTGCCCCAGCTGGCGCAGCTGGTCAGCTGGTCGGCTGGCAGCCGCCACGCCCCCATTGCCGCCATGAAGGCCATAAGTGCGAACTCATTTGCATCTGGCAAATAGCATATTGCGGTTGCACTTACAACTTCTTAATGATGTGCACAAACATTGCTATGCAATCACACGCACACACACACACACAGATATTTGAGGGGGATTCACCTAGAAGAGTCGCTATGAGTGACTTTTGCAGAGACTTTGGCAATTGACTTAGGTAAACTTATTGAACTTGGGCAAAAATCTCGACAAAGTCAAATATTATTTGATTGATTTCGGTTAGAATTTGATTATCTTAAGTGAAAATAGGTGACAGCGTGTCAGACGGCGGCTACTGACTGCAGAATACTCCTTAACGATGCAAAACCAATTGAATCTGTTTTCGGCAAGCAATTAGCAAAGAGTCTGCAGTCTAACTAGTTCCATATCGACCCCCCAAAGGTCGTAGATATACTCAGCATATCTCGAGTACAAATCAAGGCGCTCAACCGAAAACTAAAACGAAAAGAATCGAAGTCCCTTGCTCAGAGTACCGTGGACGATGGAGTATGATTATTTTACGTTTAGCAGTTACATGCGAGCTTTGAAATTTAATTCAAAAGAATTTCTCCGAGTGAAACCATTTCGGAATTCAAGAGAATTCAAAATCTCGCTTAAATATATATGTATATTCCATATTTCTTGAGAAGTTCAGCTGCTAATTAACTAAAAGTGTGAACAATCAGGGCGATTCCATGGAATATATATGTATGTGTATGGAAAACACACATCAATGCGCAATGTAAGCTCAATAATCTTCTTTTTATTGGGTTTCATAAGAATAAAATAAAATAAAAATAAATAAATATTTATAATAACAACTTAAATTATGAAATTGATCAGAATTAAATGTTCAGCCAAGCGAGTCTTGGGTTAAATTTTAAAGTAGGTTAAATGTTTTCATAGTCGCTGCAAAAATATTATTGCTTAATTATGGCAGCAATGTCCCATTTCATAAAGCGAAAGGCAATAATGCAAGGCGCACCACGTGGCGTATACGCAATATTTGCTGTGTGCCCTTTACACGCGTTTTTAACCTATCATTGGCATTACACAGCGCCCCAGAGAACGCATTGATATCGAGCTTCCATGATGCATGCCACATACATACAAACATGCATATACACATATACAATGATTTACAGTTATTGCATTTAGTCAGCTATCGTGTCATTAATCATGAAGCTTGTTCTATTCCGACTTTATCATCAATAAACATTAGCAATCTATTAAATACTGAATAGCTGGTCCATCTGGCAAGCCAATCGAATTCGGTTCGATTGTGTGGCCAAACACAGTTTTAATGTAAATCGGAGAAGAGTTTATGAGAAATAGGGAAACTAGGTCAGTCGACTCTTAATCTTAATTTTTGCCCCAATGCTCTACAAACATTTTGAAATAAACTTGTAATCGGAAACCTTTGCATTTCTATTGCTTTTGCAGTTCTCGTTGAAAGCTGTGTGCAATTGGGATTGAAGGTAAGTTCAGCAAATGTTTTTGTTACTCACTAACTCTTTGAACTAATTAAAAGGTGTTTTCGGTTGTAATGCAGTTGCTGCTCAAGTTGAGATAAATTAAAAATTTCACAGAACAAATGCCATTTATCCACTCTTGTTTGTTAAATAGTTACCAAAAGCTGGTATAAAGAATCATTTACTGGCTTAAACTTAATCATCATCAATGTAAATTTCTTCGAAGTTAAGCACTCAGTGGATTGGCATCAGTTTCTTTGCACCTTTCGAATTGCCGCCATTAATTACTTCCCGGCGTGTTGCTCTTGACAATGTGCCCTTCCAATTGCCATTGCATTCTATATTCTAGTCGCCTTCGATTCGTCTACTAACATTTATAGCAAGCCTGATCGAATGGTTTCAGTAGCCATCTCGCTCTCACTCACCAACATCTCACCCTACGCTCAGCAATAGCTATCGTTATCTCTTTCTCCCCCAAATAATGTGCACTAGACTTTACCACAAGCTAGAAATGAGAAGAGAGCAGCTCGATCGGATAATATTTTACAGTAACCCAATTCAAGCTCTCAGACACTAATACTACTACAAAAGCAGAGACCAATCGCGAATTCCAAGTAGCAGAAGTAGTTTCTGCTATTCAATTTACATTATAACTTTGAATTCTCATAGCTATTTTATGTATTTAATATATCAAAAGAAATGGAAGAAAAATTTAATAAAATAAGTAACAAAATCAAGATTAAATGTGGGCATAATTATTAAGCCAAGCGACTGCAATTTAAAGTTATTAATGAATGGGTGTTATCTGCATATTCAGTTGGGACAATTGTATTGGTAGTGGAGCACGTAAAGTCATTAATTAAAGCGCTGCTGTGTGTTGACTGCAGACGCTCAGTGTGCTCAAGCGAATTGAGCGATTGTTGGGACAGAGTCAATGCGACAGCTTTAACGCAAAATGTCAATCAAATACCGCTGCACCACATGCATCACACATACACTTCTACACACACAAACACACACACAAACTGTGTGTGCAGGTACTAACCATGAGCGAGTATGGGTGTGAGTCCAACGTCAGTCGAAGCTGCCCGGCTCATTCGCCTGCGGCCCTCTGCCTCGGCATAAGCAATTTTCGCTGCCACTTCAGCTCACTTAACGCCGCCGACAAAGGCGACGCTGGCTGCTCTGATTGACAGGACGTAGGGTACAAAGCAGCCCAGTGACAGGTGACTTGGGCGATGCACGGGTCGAGCAGGAGGAGCAGGAGATGGCGGTGTGGGATGTGGGTAGCCTGTGGGTTTGGCTACACACACAAAGCCAAAGGCATTTTATATAGCCCGCTGAAAGGAGTAAAACAAAACTTTCGACACGAAATGACATGCCGATTAAATTAATGCAGTACCTAAAGCCTCGATGGGTGGCATGCGGGGGAGGGTGTAGGTGCGATTAAGAAGTTTTTGTTGCTGCCGTTAGCAGCAGTGGTATCGTAAAAACTTTAAGATCGAATCGTTTGTGAGCCCCCTGCTCATAAGTAACGCCAAATCGGTTGGGTCCATCGACACCTGCGACCGAAAGGCCAAGCGACCGAAGGGCAGGAGGCGCACGCTATGGGCATGAGGCTGAAGGCATGAAGCGGCATCAACTGTCGGCATCATGTGCACGTAATCATAATAAATGACATCGGATGCTCCCGTAAGCGGATACTTTTATTTAATTATGCATCCCTGGCATCGAACCTTTCCACGCCCACGCAGCGCAAGCAATACAGCCGCCCACCCATGCCGCACCAACTTCAAAATCAAACTCAAATTCATGCTTGGGGTCAAGGTGAGCTGCCTTCAGCTGCCCTGTCCCCCCCGAGCACTTCATTTGAATAGACTTTCCAGCTGTTCGTATGCGCTAAGATCTTAACGCTCCAGATGATAATGATAAAAATTTGTTATTTCCCCTCCATAGTTAAGCGAGTGTCCCCTTTTATGTAGTGCGCCTTTGATGAGCTGAAATCCAATATTTTTTTATTGCAATATCTGATATTTTTAAGCATATGCTTACATGGAACGTTTACAGTTACGAGTTACTATAATTGTTACCTTTTGAATAGGCAGACTACTGCATTAGACTCTATAGACTCATGTCTATTGGGGCAAGGCAATGTGGAAGAGCAGAGTTAAGTAAGTCTACGTCATTATAGTCTTCTATTCATGTGAGCAGGAAACCAAAACTTGTGGGATTCTTCTTTAGATACAGCGTCTTCTCTCAGAGTCTTCATTCAGCAAGCGAGCATAAGGAGAACGAGAAAAGGGTGCGAAATATTACTGCCCTGCAAAAAACAAAAATGATTTCGTATTTCCATATACGATTTATTTGACTTAACAAATCGGATATCTATGTAAATTAAAAGGCCTCGCTCCTCGGAGAAACGATCAGTTCAGCATCGATCAGATTAGAGCACTGTCGCTCACACATTACACTGATCGGAGATCGGATCGATCGCTGTAGTTCACGCTTCTAAGTGAAGCATAGATCGCTGTTCTCATTCATCTGATCCCAGCGATGGGAAGTTGCTCAGAGAAGGAAAGCCGCTCAGCTTACGGTATTATAAGTCAAGCAGTGCAGCATGGATAACAGTAGCTCATTCGTCATAGTACAGCATAGAAATATGTAGAATTTTTTATTATTGAGTGCTGAACACAAAAGTCTTGCTTCATATAGATCCTTAATATATAAGAGCTACAAGTTTCATAAAAGATGATTGTTAAATGAAAAAAATGTATTAGTTATTTAGTTAATGAACACAAATACATTGTATATAGTTATTGAATAATAAATTAATAAGTTACATTTTGTTTTTACCACCCAACCAGGTATAAAACTTCACTGCCCTCTTCAATGTCTCTTATTAAATATTGCTGTTTGTTTTCATTTCCTTAAAATGGCTGCATTTCAACTGCTACTTTAAAAGAGATTTCTCTAAGCAATGGCAGCCCTCATGCCGCTCAGAGAAGTAGCTGAAGAGTGTGTTGTTCTTTGACCGCCTCGTCACAGGAAACACCGCTTAAGCTCTGTAAACCCTTTATGCTATTATGTGTCATCCGAATGAACATGCGCGCATAGTTGTTACTCGTGTGTTGTCCAATGATTCGGTCGTTTATTTCTGTGCCATAATCCCGCATTGTCGTCGTTCTGTGGCCTGTGGACTGGATGCGACTCAGCTCAGCTCTCGGCGAGCTAATGGCAATGTTTGCAAGGTGAAAGTTCTCACAGCTTACTTTTAAACTGTTTGTTCTTGTCAACTTAAAGGCTGAGCTTTCTCTTTGTGTATATGTGTGCGTAGTTTCAATGTGGGTGTGCGCGTGTGTGTGTGCCAAGAAGTTTGTAATTTATTTTTAATACTCTTGAAATTTGTGTTTCTTGCCTTTTATTGTAGTAAACAATCCTCATTTTACACTTGACTCTCTCTCTCTTTCTCTCTGTGTCGCTCACTAAGCTGGCGATTTTTAATTATACTCGTTGCAGAGAATGTCTAACTTTCCACCAGCGCCAATGCCTTCAGGCAGTCGGCACAGCAAGGCACCAGCCATCGCAAACAAAACAAATAAAACAAAGCACTTACATTCGCAAATTAATAATTGAAAGTTTCTCTCTCTGGGTTCTAAATAGTTCTTTATGAGTTTCGTGCAACATTCTCAATATGCCCACGAGCGGGCTTAGAAATTACCCAACTAATTTACAAACTGAGCTCCAATTACAAATTACTAATTAGCCCCCAAACAACATTCACATATATTCAAACATTCAATTCAAAGTTCCATTTGACTCAGTGATATATTCATTCGGGTTGTTTAATTCATTTCCTTAAACTTGACATATTTATAAATTATTTGCAGCAATCAAATTATTGCTAAAATAAATAAGATAAATATTTCCTGATAAATTATTAAATATTACACATTGAAATGATAGGAATAAGTAAGCTCTTTAAGCAACTGCGAATCCAACAAAGAATGCCCAGTGCTTCTCAAACTGTGCCTTTCCAGTATGCCAGCTCCTTCTTGCTTTCGCTTGGTCCAGTGATATTCACAGCGAAGCTGGTCAAATGGCTTCTATAGCCATGTCGCTCGCACTCACTAACACTTGGGGACAAAGTTCAGCAACAGTTATCTTTGTCCCTCTCTCTCATGAAGCAACAATCGGAGCGTGTAGGCAACACGCAAACTCACTCGGATAATATTTTACAGCAAATCTATGTAAGCTCTGAGAGCCTGGCACTAATACTAATGCAACAAGAGAAACCAATCAGGGATTGACGCAGCAAGGCAATAGGCTATGATATTAGTCTATTGGTGAAGATCGAAATCCAAACATATAAATAAATATAAAATGTAATAGAAAATATAATTAATAATTAATATAATTATAATTCTTAAATTACAAAATATTCAAAAAAAATCAAATTTTATTCGAGAAATTGCAGATAGTACTTTGTAAATTATTTAGAGTTCTTAGTTACTCTAGTCAAAGGCAACTGTTTATAAGAAAAATCTATTTGACCTTGAACAACACTATTCTTTCTTAGTATTTCCATAACAAAGTTCTCGTACCACACTCGTAACTAATTTAATGAATAGAAATTATACAAAAACATGCAAAAATATACGAAAGTCTCCTTCTCCCTTCGACAGGACTTTATGCTCTTGATATTTGCTTAGTGAACTGATAGTGAAATTTGTGTGCACTCTTTTGAATTTCAACTGAGGTTAATTAAAGCACACCATTTGTATGTCTGTGTGTGTGTGTGTGTATGTTTTAGAGGGGACTGCCAGTGGCTGTGGGTGGGCGGAAGTGGGTGTGGCCCAGAGCGTGGGTGTATGCCCAAGCACTGACTCACTCTCCCTAGACTTCTGATGAAAGAATTTTAGTTTAGTGGCAGCTAACCTAAATCAACATGGTCATCTAAGTTCCGCCGGGAGATGGCCCAAGTGAACATACACAGGGACAAGTGCGAGGGTGAGCGAAGGAGAGAGGGATGGAAGCGTCGGAGCAGCTGTTGCAACATAATATGTGTATATATGTGTATATGTGTGTGTGTGTGTATTATTCTCATAGTCGTGGGTCCAGTCCGACGTGCTTGTCTGACGTGCCATTATTTAATGAGAGTGCATAAAAAATTAAATCAAAATGCTCCGCACGTGACGGGGGCGAAGGGCGAGGCGGGCGTGACACTGGAAGGGGTGGGTGGCTCTGTATTGCGGGCGGAGATGCAAAATGAAAAGCCATTAGCAGCTGCGGACATGGGAACACATGCAAAAAGAGTTGTGAACACTCACACACAAACACCCACACACACATACATACATATGCACACACAAAGCAGAGGACAGGAAACCGGATCGTGAAGGCGACAGCGCTTAGTGCTTGAGCAAATATTTAGTGCCATCTTGTCACGCCCCTTACCCATTCGCATTTTAAATATGCAAATGGATACTCGAAACTATTTTATTATTCACACGGGCAAAAAGCAACATAGATACACACACACACACAGACACATACAGCCAGACATAGCCTTAATGTGTTCGACTAAGGTCCTGGGCCTCGAGTCCTTGTT